GCGTTTATCCACATCTAATCATAGTTAAATATTAAGTAGAATAATTCCTGCCTAAAGCATAGTATTCATTAGCTTGTGCAGCACTATGAAAAGTAAACACATAATTTCCACTAAATATTTTGAAGTAAAGTTCATCACACCAACCTAAGTGTCCAAAAACTGATGAATGGGTTATAAAACTGTGGCATATATATACTATGGAGTACTACTCGGGTTATAAAACTGTGGCATATATATACTATGAAGTATTATAAAACTATAAGAAACAATGAAATAATTGGAATAATAATAATAATTAGAAAAAAATGAAAAGCTATTGGTTGATGAAATGGGGATTTTAGTGTCTCTGTATTGACTGATATGCATAATATACAGTATATTACGGAAATGTAATATACTGTAAAGTTATATGTGATTCAATGTAATATAAACAAGATTATGATGATGATAATAAATAAATAAATAAATAAATAAAAAGTTAAAAAAATAGACATAATTAAATGTGCTTTCCCCTGAGAACAGGACTGAGGAAAAAAAGAAACAATGAGATCCTATCATTTGATTCAAAATGGATGAATGTAGAAGACTTAATGCTGACAAAGGGAGTCAGACTTTGAAAGATAAACATTGTATATCCCCACTCAATCTGTACTGAGTATCTGCACTTAATGGCAGAGATTGAGAGAGCAGAAGATGTAATGGTGAAGAGAATGGGTGTGGATGTTAGAAGACCGTGTGGAGAGAAAGTGGTTGATGGAGGATGGGTGGTAGGTAGTGTGTATGAAGAAAAAGAAATTTAGGTAGTCATGTCTGTTCAAAGGTGTGTTATCTGTCTGGGGGACCAGCAGGTGGCACAGTAGTTAAGGCGCTGGACACTCCCACATGGCCCACCATGGTTTGAGTCCCAGACTTGGTGACTTGCTTTCTCATTTTCCCTCTCTCTCTCTCTGTGTCTCTCTCTGGTCAAATTAAAATAAGTGAATGAATTTAAAAAAAAATTTAAAAAGAAAAAGGAGCATGAGAAACTTTAAAAAGAAAAGGTGTTATCTGTCTGTTACACTAGTCTGCAGATTGTTTCATGAATGCTTTATCAAATTATGAAAGTTGAAGTGCAATAATAGTTGGAGATTACAAATGATAGGCACGTTTACAAGAGGAAAACAAATTAAAATGTTTTTGTATGATCTGGAAACTGCTCACTCCAGTGTGTATCTGTTCATTTGTCATCAAAGGAGCACCTTGCCCAAAAGAAAGGACTGACAAGTTGGCCAAATGCTCACCGTCTTTGTGCAACTGTGGCTTAGCACCAGTTTGTATCTATAAGTAACTGTTATATGTATTGTATTTCTTGTTATAAACAACTTTTTTAAAAAAGAGATATAAAAACTGGATAAAATTGGGGAAAAAATTGAAATAATAAAATTCATCACTACCTCCAAGGACCCTTGGACTTGGGGACCAGCAAATGGCATAATAGCTGTGTCGCTGGACTCCCATGTAGTTGACTGTGGTTTGAGTCCCAGACCCGGTGGCTTAAACTCATGCCAGGCACATGTGCATGTGTGCCCAAGATCCAGAGAGGAGAATGGAGGACAAGGGATTGTGGCATGGCCATCCCCCGGGGGTGTGATTTCTCTTTTTCTATCTCTCTGACTCTGTCTTTCTGCTGAGTGCACATGCCCTATAGCAAAAACCTCTCAAAAAAAAAAAAGAACCCTTGGATTCTATGTGCAACTTGGGGAACCCCAATTTCCAACCAGGGACTTAAGGACCCGCAATCTTAAACGTCTCCTCACTAATGCCCCTGACCCAGGGTTACCTGGGCCACCTATATTCTCAGCCACACGTATTACTTTGGACCCGAACTACAAAGTATTTAAGAGGCTCCATTTTAAGATTAAGCATGTGGATTCTTTCCTCCCAACTGGCCAAAGAACCAAATAAACTAGCCCAAAGGCCCTGTGGCAGCTGCCCCATGGTGTACTCACTGCAGACGGAAGATCGCGGTCAGCCATGGGCAGCATCCCTGGAAACAGAGAGAGCAGGGATTAGCTCCAACATCTGGGTCCTGAGGCAGTTGCAATTGCCTGTGACATTATATAATCACTTCCTCTCCTAGGAAAACAGAGCTGCAGCCCCCTATTCAGCGAGCTCCCCCTCCCCAAACATGACAAAGTCCGCATACTCCCAGCCCTTTGCGACATGCGCCCTGTGCCTAGAATTCTCAAGTTTTGACAAGGTCATGGTTAAATTATGAAACCTGGATCAAGAGCTAATGAAAGCTCAGGAGAAAGTGATGCAGGCTTCTGTTTGTTTCAACAGGACTGGATGAGAGGTGGAACGAAAGAGCGGAGAAAAGCCCAGTCCATTGGACAGCCCCTGGAGTGGGATTTAGAGGAGAAGGGTATCTGCAGCTTTGATTATCTTTCACATCTCTTAAACTGAAGCTGAGCTATTACCCAGCTGGGAAGGACAAATATTTGATCATCATTCATTCAACAGTGACTAAGCACCCACCAGACAGCAGGGGCTGTGAGGAAGGGCTGGAGACGGCAGTGTTCCTGCCCACATTTGGCTCATAATCTAGCAGGCAAGCCAATAATTAACCAGCACACAAAGCCTTGAGGATGACAGAGAGACGATTGCTAGGGGAGCCCGTGGGCTCCACAGCCCTTCCTGCCTGTGAGCTGACCCAGTCTCGTGCCCGGGGTCATTGCGCTGCCTTCTCCTCTGTTGTTTCCCAAGGGCAGTGCCTCCACTGGTGCAGAGGAGAACTTCCACCAGCACCTGCCACTCAAGAGACACAGTACTAAGTTGGCGGCTGGACCAAGAGTACCACTGCCCTGCCCCCACCTAATCATTACTGCTGGTCTCCACCCCGGCCACAACCACGACTGTCCCTTAGATACCAACCAGCTCGCTCTCAAAGTCTTGCCCTAAGGAGGAAGATGATGACAGTCTCTGGAATCTGGACTCACTAGGAACACTAAAGCAAAAAAGAACAGATAATTATTTTTTTAAGAATTATTTTATTTACTATTATTATTTTCTTTAAGAATTATTTTTTAGGACCAGCAGTTAGCGTACTGGCTATGTCGCCATACTCCCATGTGGTCGACAGCGGTTTGAGTCCCAGACCCGGTGGCTTAAAACTCACTCTGGGCACGTGTGCATGCGTGCCCAAGATCCTGTGAGGAGAATGGGGGAGAAGGGATTGTGGCGTGGCCATCCCCCCCGGGGAGTGATTTCTCGCTTTCTGTCTGTCTGTCTCTCTCTGTCTGGTGAGCGCATGTGCCCTATAGCAAAAGCCTCTCAAAAAAAAAAAAAAAAAGAAAGAAAATTTTTTAATTGAATTTTATTTATTTATTTACTTACTTACTTATTTTAATTTGGAGAGGGAGAGAATGAGAGAAGGAGAGAAAAAGGGAAAGTGAGAAAGCAAGCCACCAGGTCCAGGACTTGAACTATAGTCAACCATGTGGGAGTTCAGCACCCTTAACCACCATGCCACATGCTGGCCCCTGTTTACTATTATTATTATTATTATTTTAATTTGCTATCGGGCACTTGAGTTCATCAGAGAGAGAGCAACAGAGAAAGGGAAAGTGAGAAAGCAAGCCATCAGGTCTGGGATTCAAACTGTGGTCTGCCATATGGGAGTCCAGCACCTTAGCCACTACGCCACCTGCTGGCCCCAGATAATTTTTTTTAGAAGAGAGATTTTTGCTATAAGGCACATGCGCTTGCTGGAGAGACAAAAAGAGTCAGAAAGTGAAAATCATTCCCCAGGGGAGTTGGCCACACCACAGTCCCTTCTCCATTCTCCTCTCAGGATTTTGGGCATGCACGTCCATGTGCCTGGCATGAGTTTAAGCCACCAGATCCAGGACTCAAACCACAACTGACTCCATGGGAGTCCAGTGATATAACCACTACAACCTCTGGTGGTCCCAGCCCCCAGATAATACTTAAAAAAATAAAAATAAAAAAGTTTAAAAATTACATTCATTATCTTTCTTTTTTCTTTTTCTTTTTTTTTTTGTATTAAGTTTTTTGACTTAGGGAACATGAGCTTGCTGGAGAGAGAGACAGACAGACACAACGAGAGGGAAAGTGAGAAATCATCCCCCAGCAGGGATGCTCTCACTGCAAGCCCTTCTCCTCCATTCTCCTCCCAGGATCTTGGGCACATACACACACATACCCCGCATGATTTTCAAGCATAAGGTATAGGATTCAAACCATGGTCAGCCATGTGGGAGTCCAGCAACATAACCACTACACCACTATATTCAATATCTTTATGACTCTTAAAGCTCAAGAGCAAAGCTATCATCCCTCAATGGTTTGGAAAAAATACAACTCCATGAAAAATAGATGCAAGGACAATGACCATTCCCAGGTATGGTATAAAACTCTGTTACAGGGCCAGCCCCGTAGTCTGGGGAGCTTAAGGTTAAGGGAGCTGGATCCCACATGGTTGATCTGTGGTTTGCATCCTGGCCCTGGGCTTAGAAAGCACACCAGGGGGCGAGCAGATGGCATAATGGTTATGTTGCTGGACTCCCATGTAGCTGACCACAGTCAGAATCCTGGACCTGGCAACTTAAAACTCAAGCCAGGTGCATGTGCATGTGTGCCCCAAATCCCAAGAGGAGAAGGAGGAGAAGGGATTGTGGTGTGGCTATCTCCCCTGGGGGGTGATTTCTTGCGTTCTCTCTGTGTCCCTCTGTGTCTCTTCAGTGAGCACACATGCCCTATAGCAAAAATCTCTCTGAAAAAAAACCAAATCTGGTGTCTAGGCACATGCCCAAATTCCCTACAGGATGAAGCAATGGAGACGGGAACGACCACACCCCACTGACAGTCCTCTCTCCTTTCCTCTCTTCGCCTTTCCATCTATCCCTGGCAAGCACACGTGCCCTCTGGCAAATTAAAAAAAAAAAAACCTCTCTGTTAGATAGGATGAATTCGATGAGGCCAGGGCATCGCTAGACAGCCTCATATGCAACCATATCCTCCATCTTCACCCCCGTGACTGGCCAACCTAAAGTGACTTCAGCGTGTTGCCTGTTAACGTATTTCCTAATACAGTACACCAATGGCACTTGGGAAAAGAGCCAGACCGTGGCCTACTGGTCAAGGAAAAAATCCCACGTGGCCAACACTGGCAGCATGGAAAACATACCAGGCGTATGTGTATGCATTTATAAAATCCTGACAGGATGGGGAAACACAGGCGGGCTTACAGTATGGCCATGCCCCATTGGGAAGGGGTGCTTTCTACCAGCATAAAACCTGATGAAGTAATTTTCAAAGCATTTAGAGACACCAGGCTTATCTGACCTTGGCAGTAACCCCATGGGGAAGAGAGGGCAAGAGGAGACAGACCTCAATTAGTCTGCAAATTTGACCAAGATCACAAGCCAGGGAAATGGCATGGCCTGTCAATGCCCATGTGCTCTTTTCTTTCTTTATTTTTAAAAAAATTACCTATCTAGGGGCCTACAGGTGCTGTGGTGGTTAAGGGCACTGGACTCCCACATGGTCGACCGTAGCTCAAGTCCCAGACCTGGCGTTTTGCTTTCTCACTTTCTCTCACTCTGTCCCTTTCTGGTCATATTTAAATAAATAAATAAAGTTAAATAAAATAATTATTTAAAAATAACTTTTTTAAACCTCTCTACCTCCTCCATGTGTGAGAGAGAGAGACAAAGAAAAGCGGCCCAACAAGGTCCCAGTGCTGCAGTCCACCCATAGCCTCAGATGCCGGATCACCGATGCACACACGCACCTGCCAAGTATGGGGGGGCCTCGATGTGAACCCAGAGCCTTCCCAGGTGAGTCCAGCATTGCAGAGCATCCTGCAGCTGCTGTGCCAGCCCCGCCCAGTACACTTCTCTATTGCAGTGTGGCCCCATGTAGGGCTGAATGTGCCCTAAAGGCATTAGACAGTCCTAAAGGTTCCCCCTGGAGAGTCTGCAAAAGCCAGAGCAGAGACCACGGGGGAAGGAAGGGACATTTACAGACACAGTGGAGAGGACCCCTCCAGCACCAGCCACATGTCATCACAGGCCTCCCGGGGTGGGGGTCTGCCTGGGCAGGCAGCAGGCCAATCCGAGTTCTCCACACTCCCTGTTGCCACACTGGACACAGGATCCCAGGCTGCCAGCAGCCAGCGGCACCAGGAAGTTCGGTTGTGCACTTGTAGACTGCATTCCTGCAACTTCAGGTAAGGGAACGGGGCCATGAACAGAGCCGCGGATGGACTGGAAGAATGAGGTCTGGCCCAGGGAGCCTGCACCTCCCAACAGGCTCATCCAAAGCCAGCTCTGACGTGGAAGGAGGGTGGGGCAGCTCAGCAAGGCCCTGCGGCTCCCAGAGCCTCCTGGCCCAGCCCCGCCCCAAGCTAGTTTCAGAGACGATACACTCCAAGTACTGAAGGTGAAGAGGAGAACAGGTGAGGAAGAATGAAAGTCCTAAGTGTCTAAGGCAGCAAAGCTGCTTCCACGGCCTGAAGCCAACAGGTTCTTGGCCAAAGCTCAGCTGGAAACCCAAGACAGAGGCAGCAACGGGGCCATGGTGTTCCCCGGCACAGGGAGGGTACCCAGCGGGCCTCCTGGGTCTGTGGTGAGGAGCAGAGGCCCGCAGATGCACTCAGCAAATCCAATCTAATGGTGTGGATGTGTGGGCCCAGTCCATGTGGTGGGTTTCACAAGACCCAGTCCATCCAGTCACACACACACATAATTCACATATACACAAACTCACATACAAATATATGTGTGCTCATGTATACGCTCACACATATGTAAATACACATATATTCTTAGATACACACATATGGACAAACTCATACATACTATATACATGCATACATACAATATATACATTCACACAATCTCATATACATGCATATATACAAATACACACCCACATGCACACACGTACAATCTAGGCCACATCTCTTTTTTACCTGTCTGCTTCTGACACCAGGGCAATGCGGCCATAATCCCAGAATCTTCTTCTTATGATGGAAAACACCAAGATTAAAAACTAAAAATAGCAAAGAAATCAAGTAAGAGCACATTGACCAGCAGGTGGCATGGTGGTTAAGGCGCTGGACTTCCACATTGCTGACCACAGTTTGAGTCCTGGACCTGGCAGCTTGCATTCTCACCTTCTCCCCTCTCTCTCTCTCTCTCTCTCTCGAGCACTATAGCAAATTTTAAAATAATAAATTAAATTAAATTAAAAAAAAAATTTTAAGAGCATATTGACAACTTCTAATGAGAAGAGACCACCTGCCCAGACTCATCTAGACACAGAAAGATCATCTGCTGCCCAGGGCCACATAGCTCAGTGACCCGATGCTTTGCTTGTCCCTTCCCCAGCTCCAGTCACCTGTGCCCAAGCCCCCAAGGCTGTAAGAGCTGATGCCAAGCTTGTCCCGGAGCCCACCTCCTAGTCAGGCTCGTCAGCCCGTCCTTTGCTCTCAGGGCAGCCAGGGCAGCATCAACACCACGAGTCTCTGATCTCAGTCCCTAAGTAAGAAGGCAAGGTCTGGCCCCACGGCTGCCCAGGGAACCTGCTCCCTTCACTTCACATCCACTCTCTGTTTTCCTTTCCTTTGAAAGCCATAGAGACGCACCCCAACAGGGTCTCCATGCTGTGATCCACCCCAGCCTCAGCTAACCCAGACCACAAGTGCACACATGCACCACGTGCTTAGGAAGGTCCTAGGACACAAACCCAGGCCCTTTTTCATGTGGTCTAGTTGTGTTATCGCCACGCACTGCCCGACCCTAGAATTTTATTTTTAATTACAGAACCAAGGTCACAGAGCCTCCCCAGACTGAGCCAGAAACAGTTGGATTTTCACCTAGTTTGGTTCTCCTGAAGGCAAGCCCTGTGAACTCCGGGCACAGAGCATGTGGACACTGATGCCCAACAAGAACCTGATGCTCTGGGCTGACCTGCTGGCCTCAGCAAGCTGGGCACCTCTGCTGACCTGTGTGCCCAACAGCAACACGAGGGGCTGGCTGAGCGATGTCTGCTCTGCACCACGTTACTCCACCACTCTGCAAGGTCCAGGCTGCCCCTCACTCCCAGCATCCACCTCAGGCTCTCAGCTAACTCCCTGCCTCTCTCCCTGCCAGACAGGCTCCCTCCCTTCAAGATTCAGGGAAGAAACAGATCTTCACAAGCATACTCCTACCTGCTCTGGTCAGAAACTGGAGTTTCAAAGGTGGGTTTTATTTCTCTGAATCTAGAGGGCCTGAATCCCAGAGGCCCTGAGTTACCCCAAAGGCACCAAGCATCCACGGATTTTCTCCAGGTGAATCAGGAAGCTGGTGGTATAATCTCAAAGGTAGGTGAGTCACGGTGTGGAATAAACACAAAGGCTGCTCAGTGAGTGTCGCCCATGAGCATGGCTGCTGTCACCATGGCAGGGATAGTGCAGGCCCTTTCTGTGTCTCTCAGGCCCCTCTGGCTCTCATGTGTCCTCCAGCTCTCTGACTTTAAAGTCCACCTGCCTGCCCCTAGCACACTCCAGGGGAAAAGGACTCTCTTTTCAACCAACCCAGCTGCAGCCACACTCACCCAACCTTCGGGGGACAGGGGCTGCCCAGTATTCTTCGGTTTGGCCAAACTCTCCCCACCCTGACAACTCAGGGCCACCCTCCCATTAATCCCACTGACACATTTCCCACCACGCCCCTGCCTATTCCTCCCTCTTAACCAAGGTTGCTATACATAAGACAGCTCTCGACCTACAAGTAGGTTCCAGCTCCAAGAAATGGGCTACTTAGAACTTAGAGAGTCCTTGTTTGTAAAAGCAAAGTGGGCAGCAAGCAGCTTCCCACAGCAGCCCACAGAGGACAAATAATATAACAAAGCTCTATCAACAAGTTGGACCTAAATCCTAGGAACAAACAATGAAACGAAAAAATGGTAGAAGGCCAACTCCCTTTCCACTGCCCACGAGCATTCTGGGGCCAGCAAATGTGTTTGGTGCCCCCCTTCCTACTGCCCAGGAACCCTTTCCCCCGAGGACCAGGGCCCTCATGATATCCCAACTCCTGCTGCCCACGCTCCCCACCTGGCCTATTCTCTGGTCCCAAGCAGTCCAAGGGTGTCTACTCTATCTGCCCCCGCTGACACCATTTACTCAGATGATCCGCTGTGTTTGGAGATGGCACCGGCGGGACTCGCCATCCCAAAGATGAAAAGAAAGTAAATCTCAACTAGCCAATGCTATGGCAGTACAAGGAGGAACAATGACAATTTTGAATTGGGAGGGTCTTTGCGAACAAGGATGTCTACAGTAAAGAAAGGCCACTGCAGAGGATCAGCTCTGAGAATCAGCTTCTGATTCTCTAAAAAGCCCCTGATCCCAATGGGGAGCAGAAGAGGACACTGGTACACTGGGAACTGCACCCACTCTAATGCTAGTCCATACTCCTCCCCATAGACGGGCCCTTCCCAGGACCCTGAAAGGCCCGGCAGCCTCCTGCCTCTGCAAAATGTAGACCCCAAAGGAGCTGCTCTGTGTGTTCCTCACACCCATAGCCTTATTTCTTCTTCTCCGAAGCCATCTGAGGTAAGAGTTATTACCTCCATTGTTCAGAGTAGAAACCTGAGACCCAAACCAAGTACCGTGCCCAAGATCACAGAGCTGGTCCGCAGTAGAGCTGGGATTTAAGTCCATGGACGTAAATCTGACTCCCCACCTGCATTTCCCAGGAGACCCTGGAAGGAGGGTTTAAACAAATAACTGAGGAGGTGACATGATTCATCGGGGCTCTCACCAGGAAGCAGCTGACATCTATGAGCAAGACGGTGGGGATGCCACCAAAGGTGACCCCCTGGAGCACGGTGCTGTTTTTGGCCGAGTTGTAGCAGTAGGAGTCGTTGGGCTGGTCCCCGAGGCCCAGCCGCTCACGGATGGACACGGCCTTGGACTGCCATAGCTCCAGGAATGGGGAGTCGGTCGTCATGCCTGTCCTCCCTGGAGAACAGGAGGAGGCAGGTGGTCAGGGCGCCAACTACCCACGGTTCCCCCAGCCAGCACTGGCAGAGCCCAAGGGGAGTGCCTCCCTGGGGGTTGGAAGCAGGGAGAGCTAGACACCGGACCCCTGCGTGCCTGGCAGTGTCCACACAGAATAGCTCCATTGTGGGAGCAGGCCTGCAGGGTCAGATGGTCAGAGCGGGTGGCTCGTCCAAGACACAGCATGCAGACTCCCTGGGGGAGAAACGAATGGCCAGAAGTTGCTGCGGCTGCTGACTTAAGAGATGCTGAAGCTCCTCTAGCCTCTGCCACTGCTTGGAAAATCACTCCTGTGGGAGCCACTGGGAGGTCGAGAGTACAGGCAGGGGAGCAGGAAGGGGACAGAGAAACACGGACAGACGGGGAAGGAGGAAACCCGAGTGTGGACCAGCACAATGGCCCATTCATTTGACCTAGCGCTCATAGAATGTCAGAGCGGGGACTTCAGAGATGGGTCCATTTGATGCACTTAGAAACTGAGGCTCTGAGGGGTAATAACCTGCACCAAGATTAAGGTGCTGGCGGGGCAGAACTGAGACCCTAACTCAGCCCCCTGACTCCCAGATTCCAGTTCTCTTGTTACAATGCCACACTCCCTCTCTGTCCACTGACCGCCTCGTGTTAATTCTAGAGCAACTGAAGGAGGCAGGAGGGCAGCTAGAGAGAACAAGGAAAAGGCTAACCGCGTGGCCTAGGGTAGGGAGCAAGAGAGAGTCTCAGGGCCTCCTCAGGGACCCCTGGGTCCCCCAGCTCTCCCCTCTCACCCTCAGCTCCTTTAGACCTTCTGGCTAAATGGGAGCCTCAGCATTTCCAAAGCAAACAGCACTGCAGGCTGGATTGTTGACCTTTCCTTCCTGTGGTTCCTGGCACCCCCGGTGAAGCAAATGGAAATCTCCAGTGTTGGAGCTGGTGCCTAAGCCCTGCCTGCTTTCCACTGCTTGTGGCAAAAGGGCCAGAGGAAATGCTCAGCACCCCCTTCCCTAAGCTCCCACCTCCCCAAATCTGGTTTAACTAGAACTCCCAGGGGACTTCTGCTTAGTCTGATTTTTCCACCTATAATAGAGACAAAAAGTTTGAGAACAAGAAGTTGTGAACCCAAACAGATCTCCGACTACCTGGCCATGCTGGGGGTGGGGGGGTGTTCATGTGTGGGCATGACTCCTAGTTCTGCCTCCTAGAGCTGCCATGTTGGGGACGAACACACACACACACACACAAACACACACACGACAGAAAGGGCAGGAAGGGCAGGTAGTGGCAGGACTGCCCAGGAGGCCAAGTGGCTTTCTGACCCTGGAAGAGACTCGGCAATGGTGGGGTGGTGGAGTTGTGATGTACCAGGGAGCTGCTGGCTCTGAGCAGTCATAAAAGCTGCCTTGTAGGGGGCAGGGGGGGGGAATGTTCTCAGCTTCTCCCTTTAAACCCCACTTTGTGGTGCCCTCCCAGTGGGACACCCCAGCCCCAGGCTATGCGCCTAGCATCCGCCCTCCTTCCCTTCCCCACACTCACCAGATGCCAGGGGGAGGAAGGATGGTGGATGGGCCTGTTGGAGGGGTCCTGGGTTGGCGGTGTCTCTGGGGGCCAGGCCTCGGGCCCGCACTCATTTCTCGAAGGACTCTCCTGACCTCTGGGTCCTGGGGCATTGGCCTTAGACACTTCCCTGAAGGAAGGGATGCTCAAAGTCAAATGGGAGCCACCCTTTTCCAGTTTAGGGGTTCCACAGGGACACCTTCAGCACCCGCTGCACTCATCCCTGCCCACACGTCCTTGAACTCCACACCCACACCCACATCCACACGGAGCTTCTAGCTCTGCCTCGTAGGCTCCTTTCTTCCTGCCTCTCTCAAACTCCCAGAACCGGGTCCCCAGCCATTGCTCCTCTGTCACCCAACTCCTCTCCTCTCCCAGCATCACCTGTGGCTCCAGCCTCTCCCCGTTCTCCAATGGTTCAGGCCCCAAGGGTGCAGTCTGCTTCCTATAGAAGCTCTGGTAGCTGGTGGCCTGAGGTAGGCCCCCAAGCCATGGACCTCAGAGGCTGCTGTTACTGCTGGGAAGATGCCCCAAGGTCCCCCAAGGGCTAGAATCAAAAGAAAGGAACACCGCAGAACAAACAAGGCTTGGAAAGTGAAGTGGGAAGAAAAAGCATCCCCATAACGGGCTCACAGAGGGAGCACTATCCCTGGAAAAGAGCTGCTGGGTGGTGTTGATGCCTCATCAAGGCAGCTTTCTGCCAGAGTTTCAGAAAAGCAGAGGCCTCCCTGGGAGGAGGGTGCCTGTGGCTCCTCTGCCCCTCCAGCCCCAGTCACGCCTCTAAGTCATTTCCCTCTTGCCAAACAGGCTCCCCGGGTGCTTTACAAAGTTCCATAAGAATCCAAGGAGGTCAGCCAGCAAATACTATTCTGGGATGGAGGTCAGACCTGGCCTCAGGGCTCCCCTGGCCGTGTGGCCTAGCTTGCCTGTCCCCTCCAAGTCAGGCACAGGAGGCAGAGCTTTGGGGGCCACAGTCTCTCACAGACCTCTCAGCTCAGTCTGGCTGTCCCTGCCAAGTAGTCCTGGCAAGTCCAGATTCACCATCGCTCCTGCTCTGTGGGCCCAGCCCTCTGCGTCTTTTCGAATAGGAATGCTATCAGAGTGCAGCTGGGAACACACTCACCATGGGGCAGCCTTGCAGGCTACAGAGAGGCTGAGCAGAGAGGGCTGGAAAGGAGGAGAGGGGGCCAAAGCAGCAACCTGGCACTGTGGCCACAGGGCCCCTGCCAGCCAGCGTGCCCTCGGCATATTCATCACCCACAAATGTCGGACACATCCATGCGATGCCTAGCACTTATCCATGCCAGAGCTCTCCACTCACCATCCCCTACCCAATACCCTGGAGGTGTGAAAACCAGGAATTACAGCTGAGGCCCGGGAGCCAGGGTGAGCAGCAGGTAAACACAGGCCTCCACCCCAAAACTCAGCCCCTGAGCACCCAAGAGTCATTGTGGCTGGGGGACAGGGCTGAATTCAACAGCTGATCTCAACTTGCCGAAGAAGTAAACCCACCATGCCAGCTGAGTTGGCAGCAAGGACAGGGCCCCAGAGCAGACTGGATGACCTCTATGGATCTCTTCCAGAAATGCGGGCAGAATTCTACCGGAAGTGTGTGAACATTGTCAGTTCTTGCAAGAAGGCCTTGTGTAGAAAAGACTTTTGCTATAGGGCATGTGCGCTCACATGTGTGCTTGTCAGAGACACAGAGAGAAACAGAGAGAGAGGAAGTGAGAGATCACCCCCCCCAAGGGGGAAGGCCACCTGGCAACCCCTTCTCCTTCACACTCAACTACAGATTTGGGGCATGTACACACATGTGCCTGGTGTGATTTTCAAGCTGCTGGGCCCAGGACTTGAACTGCACAATCAGACATATGGGATCCAGCTGCCTTAACCTCCACACATGATCGTTTCTCCAGTAAGAGATGAGCTGCCTTTCCTTATCCCCAGTGGGTGTTTACACCCCCACTGGTGTCCGTGCTGCAGGAAGGATGCCTACCACAGTCCCCAGCGCCCAGGAGGCTTGTACTGGAGAACACTCATGCAACAGCTTAACCCAGACCTCAACTATGGAGGGGCTGGGACACAGTCACAGAGGCGGAGCAGGAAAGGATCTTGGAGGTCCTTTGGTCCACCACCTGCCCACATCGGCCCCAGAGGACACCACCTGGGGCCTAACGGCAGGGACCACGCCAGTAGCCTGTCTCATCAGGCACTGGAAGCTGGGCGGATTTGGTTCCTTTGCAAAGCTCTCCTCACTCCCCTGCCCCTCCTCATCCCTATGTCCCCAGCCTTCCTCCTCAGGACTCTGCCCAGGTGACCAGGAATGGTCACCTAAGGACAGGGACACTCTGCTCAATGGTGGTTTCTGCTTTCCCAGCATCAAGGACTCCGACGGGTGGCTCTTTCCTAGTCCTGCCTCGCGTACAGTTGGAGAAGGAAGAGCCCCAAGGCTGCGTCTGCGCTCCCAGTTAGCTAGGAGGTAGGAAAAGAGGAAGAGAGCAGCCTAAAAGCCAAAGGCTGGAGCCTAGGAAAGTCCTGAAAAATTGTCAGCAAGTCCCGCGGAGAGCGGGGCTGGAACCGGGGCGCGGGGTCGCCTGGCCACACTCCTGCTTCCCACCCGACAGTCACCCCTGCTTGGGTGGTGGGGGCTGCGGAGGCCAGGAGCTGTACCCGGAACCGGACACCTGGCATGGCACCTGGGCACGGGCCCGGGTCCGGTACGTCCGGATAAAGGGAGTGGGCGACAGCCCCATCCTCAACGCCCCTTTTCCACTTTACCTGCGGCGGCAGCTTGGCAGGCACGACCAGGGGAGTGGTCTGCCCCACCTGACCCGGCGCGGCGGCGTCCCGACCACTTAAAAGTTACAAAGTGAAACTCGGGCGCCTCCTGCACATGCGCAGAGCTGCGTCCAGCGCTTGCCCAATTTGGAGTCTGCCTGCGCTGGCGCCTGCCGCGACGCCGCCCACCGCGCCCGGGGCTAGGCGCCCTTCCGCGGCCCTCCGCACCCCGCCC